GTGTCAGCTAACTCTATAACAAATTTTATTAAAATCGCTCCAGCTCCAGACGGTAATAAGTGACAGACATACACACTCACAAACTCTCGCCTTTATAATATTAGTGTAATTATATTATCAATATGAATTATTTAGCAGCTGTTTATATTTAGGTATACATAAATACTTCGTTTAATTGCAGTTACTCTTATCTCTAATTGCTTAAGTCGTAAGAGAAATGTTTATAAACATAAGGCTATTGTTAGTAACATTACGATCGTTTTCTGATATTATACTATTAATTGTATACGATATGTATTCATAATCACTTATTTAATTTGTAATGTAATTTATTTGTTTTTAGTTTTGCATGCAAAACACACTACATTTTTCTGTCACACTCGAGAATTAACCTTCTTTTTTTTAACGGGGAGAATGCGTTTAAGCACCGTCCCCGCCCACTGGGCTAGTGAGCGGGTTTGTGTGGGACTCTCCCGGCTAAAGAGATAGCCGGGAATACTCCATTAAACTCCCCGGGAACTTCACCTCGCCATAATTTAGCGGGCCACGAACATGCGCAGGCCGCTGGCTCGTGTAGGGCCTACTCGGCGGAAACTCGAGAACTAACCTAACCTAACCTTCATCTTACAGAACACCACAGTAAAATAACACTACCTTTTGGTGGTGTTGCGTTCCTGTTGGCAAGGTTCTAGGGCTCCATGGGGTAGGGAATTGGGTCAGGGTAGACGCAAGCGTCTAGATTAGGGTTGCCACCCGTACTTTATTAAGTATTGTACGTTATTTCGGGTATGTGTACTCAATACTTTATCCCAACAATAAAGTACGCGAAAATACTTTATTTAATGTGATTTCATTACTTGGGGATTAATTTTACATAAAATATACAAAAAGAGGTTGATAGGAAGACTTTTTGCGTAAAACGGATAGACAGTATGAATATGTCGCTCTTAGCTAATTCCTGCAACATTTTCGTGGCTGTATTGCTTTGTAATATGACCTTTCCCATTGCGGAAAAGAACTACAAATTTTTAGTAGCCACAAATTATTTATTAAAAGTTGCTAGTAGCAACGTAAAATATATTTTAAGCTTACAAATAAAGAGGAATAAAAGTATTTTAGACACAATACCTTTAATATCCAATGTACTTTATTTGGACAAAAAAAAAGGTGGCAACCCTAGTCTAGATAGGCCTGCGTATCATCAGGCGGACGATGTCAACAAGACGATTTGTATTGATTTTGCAATTTCAAATTTCGGCTTTTTAGACTTCTTTTTGAGCAACACATTTTTATGAGTATTTAGTCCAAGTGACTTTCTTCTGATATAACCAAACCAAACATTCGTGTTGTTTAATCGACATGTAATTTCCGCCATTTATATTCCGTTCACATATTATTTTTAACATGTTGCATCATTATTAGCATAAAAACTATTTGGAGTGTGTTACATTTCAAACTTATTTATTCTATGTAGGCGGATGGATCATTCCAAATTTGGTACGGAAGCCGCCGTGACGGATTAAAAATCAACTTTTTTTTTCTCAATTTCTATTTAAAGACGAAGGAAAAATGTAGGGAGTCGGGGATCCGACAACCTCTTTTTTTGAGCCAGTGATGGGTACTTTTTTTCACAAAACTTTGTGTAATGCTTAAACGCATTTCAGGGATTTTACACTCGAACGGAGATGTGAATGAGACGGGGAAAAATGGACTGGTGTCGGTGTATTCTTTGTTTTTTTCCGATCCCAGCCCAGCATTGGTGACGCAGCTAAAGCATTATAGTTTGACGTGACGCTGACTTATGATGAAAGTCTGCTAAAAAGTTACGATGATCTTTAATCAACTGTATTTGTCTTTAACCGGACAAATACAGAGGTACTTAGTATTGTGATTATGTCATAGAGCAACACGAGACGACCGACGCGGCTATGAGAGGAGTAGCCATAATGACGTAATATTACTAAAATCATTCTACAACTTTTTGCGGGGGGAGGAATATGCAAACAAATGCAGTCCAACATACTTTCGCAAAAACGAAATTGTAATAACTACACTCGCACATAAACAATGACAGCGCTAAAACGGACATAGATGAAACTTAAGATTTTTTTTTGACAAATCTGAAATTTATACTGGCGTGTCGATTGTTTTGTCAAATTAAAGTAAAATAGAAAGAATATGTTAATTATTGTACTTATATGTGTAACACCATCCTTTTGTAAGTTTAATATTCCAGATATGTTTTACAGCAAATTACATAACATTTTGGCATTTTTGATCTCTAACATACACTCGCGCGACTTGACTCAGTCTAGTGAAATATCCGACGCTTTATTTTTTTGTTTCCTCCCAGGTGAGCGGGTGTGAAATCCTCATGGATACCCTACAGCCGGCTGCAAGTTTATGTCAGACTCTTACTGACTAAAACACACCCGTAGTTCATGCTTATGGCCGGAAGGGCCTTACAAGCTTCATCTGAAGCGATTATCCCCTGAGAGGGGGATAATGCAGTATCCAACGCGCAACTAGTTTTGTTTTTAAACTGGCCCAACAGCGGGGGAAAACCGATATGATAGATGAGAATGCTGTGTATGCCTACTCCCCTCCTGGCCGCTTTGCTCTATGGATTATGTAGAGATACACTTTTTTAACAGTTCGCTTTTTGATATCATATTAGTTTTCTATGAATTTCACGGTTTTGTACCATAGATTTGACAATATATTTTTCAAATCAACGGAAGGCGTACGGGTCTATAATTGTTAAGTATCTGTATCGACATAGGTACTTGTGGTCCGACTTATATCCTGCTGGCTTTCTGGCAATAACATCAGTGACATTGTTATTCGGTCAATAGCTATACTAAATATCTCTAATCTAACTGTACTCAAATAAAGATCAACACTTACTTATCATTCTGTAATACGAGCCTTAGAATCATTCGCCTTCTGTTATTTGAAAAATATATATCATAAGGGAGATCGTGGAAAATAATTGAAGCACAGTTAGAATTGGATGTCGCTTTGTGCTATACATAGCGACATCCCTTTCTAACTGTACTCAAGTAAAGATCAACACTTAGTTGTCATTCTGTAATACGAGCCTTAGTAACCTATATCCTCCTGCTTACGAGCAATAGAATCAGTGGCACAGTTATTGCTAACAATATATATTATTTAAATCAACAGAAGGTGAATGATTCTAAATATCTAACCTTTATCCTCCTGGCTTTCAAGTAATAGCATCAGTGACACTGTTATTTGGTCAATAGCTGCATAATAGCATCATTGTTGGGCCTTATACAGCGCTGACCCACTTATCGACAGAGAGGTCCATTGGGCTCGTTGGTTTGTATAGATTTATGGGAATGGAATTGGGACAATAGGAAGATGTTGGTAACGTGATTGTTGTTTATGACATACATAAGTACTTATTCATTCCGCTATCGTTAGGGCAAGGTGAAATACAAAAGATCGATATAAATATCATCATCAACATCGGTTTATAAGGTTGCCACTGGTTATCATTCTCTAAATCTGAAATTAAATTTGTATCCTCTTCTCTTTACAGAATGAAAAGGAGAGACTGATGTTAAATTTAGTTTTAAGTTTAGAGAACCATACCTCATTCGACATTACTGCTGAGGCAAAGGCCTTCCCTCTGAAAGGACTATAGTCTCGTAGTAAGTTTGTTGCCTGAAAACATTGATAGGTTGCCTTGCCAGTCAGCTGTTTAAAATAAATCAATAAATGCAAATGAAGTAACTTTAACCAATTTGAAACAAAATTAGATTAGGTTCTGTATTCGTTATGGTTTTTTGGTAGAATTGGATACAGTTTCAGAAACTCAATACCGGCGCTAGTTACTTGTGCGACTTGACTGCAACCAAAAAAATTTTTACTAGGAGCCAATGCTGGCATGCTAGTGAGATTGTCACCAGCCAGCGAGGTTGACGCCAGCCAGCGACTGTTTCAATGTTAATCTACCATTATGACATACAATAATTATACTAACTTTGTGAAACTTTACTTTTCAAATGAAAGCAATTACATCACTCTTCATATCGCTCGGTATCATTGAATTTAATTAATGTCATTTTTTTAACTGTAGGTATTTTTATAAAAAACTGGTCTTTATTTAGTAGAAAAAACGGTTTGGATTATCTGAAATTGATAACGGGAATTGAATAAAATTTTCATTACTTGCAAGAAGCATAATAGTTTCTTATATGAAATATTTTTTGTGCGAGAGTTAATTGTGTAAAGCTTATATAAATGTTATCTTAACTTTCGAATGAACTGTAACATGAATTAACTTCTCCATATTCGTAATTGGGAGTACTTTACCAGTTCTCCGAACTACTTTCTGTCCGTGTCCGTAATAACTACATTCGTTATACCTAACTGAAGTTGCGACAAAATACTCGGTTTGTTTGGCTTTCATCCTGTAATTGTGACGAAATATTTGTCTGTTTGTGCCTTTATTTGGGTAATTTTATTTGGGCGTTCTTCTTTTCACGCTGTTTCATGCCTTTATCCGACAGTGTTTTTGATTTTGCAATTCTTTTCAATAATGAAATGAGATACCTACTTATCGGTCGTTAAAGGGGAGTGTTAACTGAGTATTCTTTAGTACATGCACCTTTACATTATCTCTTGTGATATGATATACTTATATTCATAAATATTATTAGTGTAGCTCTCCTCATTGACGCCATGTTATGGTCTTGGGGAGGAAGGACTAATTAATATTTAGTTGTCCGAAAACAATATAGTGACAATAATATTTTTTTAAACTATCTTTTTAATATCTAGTTCATATAACACAAACAACTGGGATATTCTATGATTTCCTTTTGCATCTTGTACTGACGAAGCTGTGGGACCAATATATTACATTGACCCCAAATGATGTGTAATACATGAACCCAGTTGATGTTCATTTGTTTCCTTCTTATTATAATAACGAACGCATCTAATCTTTCCCCGTCTCCTTGTTACAGATTATGTTCCGCGGCGGCGTCGTGGGCGGGTTGGACGCACGTCGCGACGCAGCGCTCGCACGCGTGCTGGTCCGACTTCAAGCTCGAGCGCGGGGCTTACTCGCTCGTCGCCGAGCTCAACGACTCCGGACCCAGCACACGGCCGCGCGCTGCGTGCAACGGAACGTGCGCGCGTTCCTCGCCGTCCGCGATTGGCCGTGGTGGCGGTTGCTGGTGCGAGTCACCCCGCTGCTCGCCGTACACAGGACCGAACACAGGCTGAAGCAAGCGCAGGTATGTACCGTATGCTCGTCCTTTCTTATTGAAAACAGAGTACTGCACGTCCAACAAAACCTGCGCGCGTTCCTTGTAATCCGCTACTGACTGTTGTGGCTACTGGTACGACTCACCCCGCTGCTCGTCCTTATAGAAGGCTGGAGTTACCGCATCCTGAACACGGCTGCGGGCTGCGTACAACGGAACGTGCGAAATATAGATGCGCGCTGGGTTTCAGCGATAGTTGCGCCCTCTGATTACTTCACAATTTGATTAGCTTTATTACTCGCATAATGAAAGATAGTGTTCCTGGCACAGACATAGACCGAAATAAATACCGCAAGTGTATGTACTTTGCGTGCTTAAAACATGCTAAATAGGAGACGAAACGTCTTCCTTTTCTGCTATTTTATTTCATTTTATCACTGTTCTCGATACTGATGCCAATCGCAACTTTTTAAGTTGTCTGATTATGCCATAATACGCTGTAAAACCGATTGAATTGAAATGGGTTGCCGGTGCCCATGTTTTTCACCACTTCAGAGCGGACGAGAGCTGAGAGACATTTCAGAAATAGGTATTTGAAAAAACTATTGATGTCGGGCATTGACAAATACCGTGCGATAGGATCAACAGTAGCTAACGCTGAAAATTGCGTATCAAAATTGCAGAATTCGAGGGTGATTGGCTCTCGACGATTTCCTCATCGAAAATTAGCTATACGTAAAATAAATTTTACCTCTAGAATACATACTAGGCCTCTATATTTTGCTTTTTTTGTAAATGTTTATTGACTCTCCGCCCTAGGTAGAGTGGTGATAAAAATTTTGAATTTGGTTATTTTTGGGGGCTTCTTGTTTCTTTGAATTACAAATTATAGCAAGAGTTAAATTATATTTTATGTATCAAAATCATTTCTTAAGTGATGAAAAATAAAAGGAGGAATCAGTTGAGAAAGTTTGTATGAAAAAAAATGTCTTAATTTGCTATCAAGATATGACACGCTCAGTTTTCATACAATTTGACGCACTTGCGTGGGCTACTTTAATCTAGATCTGTGGTTTCTGGTTACTAGAATGAGTAGCGACAAACTTCTTGAGCAAAACCACAGACAAATAAACTTGCGCAGTACATGTTTTTGTGTGTAAAATTGCTACTGTGCAGGCCTCCTTGTCTATGGTTGATGCTGAAGAAGTTTGCCGTGGTGTATACATACTGTATTTCACCCCCTATTCATATTCATATTAGTTTTTTTCACTCACGCTCTTTCTGGTAGAGAATGCCTTATGGCATTATGTCCGCCATTTGCTTTGAAATTTTGCAATAAAGTTGAAATAAATAAAACAAATACTTATAGCTAAGCCACCTTTTTTTTTTGATATGCTGGGGAAATGCATTAAATTGCATACCACATGGTGGTTATGTGGGGCTCTCCTCCCCAGAAGGGGGAGGCCTACCCACTAAAACCCCAGCGATGGCCGCCATCAGGCATTGTACGGGGCCTCAGGATCGAGTATCGCGTCTGAGGACCCGCAGCCTTTGTTCCCCTGCTTCCTCCAGGGGAGTTCTTCTCGGGGGAGTGTTCGCAACCTCCCCCATCCACCCTCCTACGACGACACCCCCCGGCCATGCGGGGGTGTCGTCCCTCCCAGGTCACTTCCATGAGCTCTGTCGTGCTCACCAGCGACCCGCAGCGGCACATCAGGACATTTATAGCTAAGCCACCTACCGCTGCAGTTTATCGTATCTCTGCCGCATCAGCTTTATTCACAATTCACTAGACTCATATACAACATCCGGTGAGATAAATGTCTGTGGAAGATACCCGTACTTGTAATTATGAAATGTAACTTTTTACTTCAACTATATTGCACTTATCTCGTCATTTCGACGATAACATAAAGAAGCACACAGTAACAACTTAATAAATAACTAAATAAAAACTTTCGTAATTCGACATTTAGTAGAATTGTCGCGGTCAGAGGTTATCAACTGCATTCAAGTCATAAAAGTACAAAGCCAAACGTAATTACTGTCATCGTAAATTCGTCTTTAAGTCTTTAGATTTAGGGTCATTTTCGCAGAAGACCTAATGCTTTTGCTCTACTTTTGATTGTACGTAGACATCATTTCCTGCATACATGCTCATCGTGTGAAATGGAACCCTGACACCGCTTTTGTTAGGATTCCGTAGTCCTGACAAGGAACCTTTATAGTTTCTTCATGTCCGTCTGTCCGTCCCCGGTTTAAAGCTAGCTTTGGAGATATGTAAATCGATCACACCCACAAAATGGTAGAAATAAAATATTGCAAATTTTTTTAGGGTAGCTCCACGACGTGTAACCTGGCAATGATTTTTTTCATCATCTACACCATCGTGTGAGATATCATTGAATAATAGGTCCTTTAAAAGTTACTTAGGGGTTCCTAAGACTATTTTTCGATTTAGGGATCCGTTTACGAAATATTGAACTTTAAAGTGCTGATTTTTGTTCGAGGCGCTACCTCCTCTCTAAAAGTTAAACTATTGGCATGAAAACCCTGGAAAATTTCATGATAATAGTGCTTTTCATGAACTTTTAAAGAAAATTATAACGGTTATGATAAATTTGTTAGTTTAAGAGTAATAGTCGTTCAACTTTGGTTAAAGAATAGTTCTTACCTATTGAAAATTCCTGAGAAGAAAACATTAATAGTGACACAGATGAAGTTATTGTAACGTAAAACCTTACAACAAAATTTAAAAAAAAAACATTTAAAAACCACAATAAAATATCATTAGTTCCACAACGCTACCGGGAGTACCAACGGCAACAGCTTCTGAGTCGCTAACGTTACGTTTTTATAACCTTCTCAGGGGATGATCGCTTCAAATGAAGCTTGTAAGGCCCTTCTGGCCATAAGCATGAACTACGAGTGTGTTTCGGTCAGTAAGAGTCTGACATAACATTGCAGCCGGCTGTAGGGTCCAAGAGGACCGCACACCCGCCTGGAAGGAAACAAAAAAAAATACGCAGTTTGACTTTGTTTTAGGTATTTGTGTTGAGATACATAGATTGATATTTATTGGTTTTTCTAATTTCCGATACAGAAAATAAAGACTACTGCTCAAATATATTGTGGTAACTACAGGCAACTACGGAATCCTACACTGCGCGCGGCACGACACGCACTTGGCCCGTTTTTTAATCTTTTACTAGTCGACTGGGTGGTAGAGAATAGCTTTCAGTAGTTCTCAATTGTTATGTTAAGGCATGATCGAAACGTTTTCTTAACTGTAACAAACATAGGTAGAAATAAAACAAACCAATAAACATTGAAAAGAAATGCAATTTGAAAATTATGTTAAGTCTACTATTTTAAAGGACCCGGCAATATTTTTTTCAGATTTATACATCTAGCAGTTAATTGAATTTTTTCATTTCATTTATTTATTTATTGCTTAAAAATGCTTAAAAACTATAATTGCTATTTCGTCTTTCAAATATTTAATACTTGTAAAGATATCCATTTGACGTTGTGGGGGCTACCTACAATGCGAAGAGATGGCTGCTGCCTGGTTCGCGTGGAATTTTTTGTAGGAAAAATTTCTTTAGTATTTAGCTGTTTATGCATTATCAATAACACTTTCAAACAATACGATACGGCGACACCAAACATTAGCCGTGTAACAAGGGGCACAGTGTAACATAAGGAATATCTCTTTAACATACTGGCCATTCGACGTCCGATGACACTAATTTATTAGATATGAAACTTATTAAACACGTTAAGACAGACCATAGACAATTATTACTTATGTGCCACTGGTGACTATTATACCTAATATCTATTTATCTATTATACCCACTATTGTCGACACTGTTTGTATTTATACTCTATGAGACAGCAGTCAAAATGCGAGTGGACGATGTATCGATAGCGACATGGTTTTTTTTTTGTAATGTTGCTACTTCTGTTAAATGCTGATGAGTTTCTTGCACCCATTCTTCTCATCAGCTAAAAGATGTCCTGAGTGGGTGATAGAAAAAATATTATTATCATAATAGAGTATAATTTCATTTGTGGGTTTCCTACAATGCGAAGAGATGGCGCTACCTTGCAGCCTAAGGCTAGAGAAAATTCGTCACGGCCTTCAGGGCTGCGGTAGCATAATGGTCAGTGTATTCGCCCGGATAGCGAAGGGTGCGGGTTCGAGTCCCGTCTGCTGCCTGGTCCGCGTGGATTTTTTTTCTAGTAAACTTTTCTTTAGATTTAAACACCGAGCAATTAAATGTTTAAAAAAAATGGTTGCCTGTAAAGTCGGTTTTACGGGCGAAGATTTTACGTGACAACGTCTTTTTCTCGGTAGAATATTTATTGATATGAATATAATTAAATTGCACAATAGGAACAAGGAATTGAATGAAAATAAGAATTGCACAAATTTTAACTATAGAAATATATTTTGTTTACTAAAACATTGTACATGTAAACTTAAACTTAACACGAGAGACTCATCGTAACGTTACCGAGCGTTACACTTTTTCATAAGTGACTCCCAGCCGCAACCTAATTTAAGACGTTGTCACGTCAAAATAAAAACATAAGTTTCATTCAGTCACGTGGCCATCTCATTCTATTGCATGGACGTACTATTTACGGCAAAGAAAGTTGCAGCATCAACTTAAGTCTAACTTTAAAGTGAATTGGCTTGTCCAAGTTCAGCCGTTAGTGTTTAATCCGGAACAGAAAAGTTCAAACCAAATATGTTTAAATGGTAAATGCTTGCAACCGGTGCTCTTTGAAGAGCATATATTTATGCACTTTCACGCTTGTTAGTTACATATAAGTTAGAAAATCACACTCACAGTCGTTTTCCCAGCTCTTCTCATAAATTCACAGCTCGTAAGTGAGTAAAAAAGACACAGAGACAACGTTTCATACAACGGGCTATTTGACAAGCTTCTAAAACGTTTAAGTATACGTTATTTATAGTATATAGTAACTTCATAATAAGTGGATGATTATAATTCTGT